CCCTATGTAGACTTGTCCACAGCTGCATGGTATACGGTAGACTCCTGCAGAGGCGAGAGGATCCCTCTTGTCCTTTGCTGAACATAGCATTTGTTGGATTTTCTTGGTGGGTCTGTAGATAGTTTGTATGTTGTGTTTCCTCATCAGCTTCCCTATGCGGTCAGTGGTTCCCTTGATGTATGGTCAAGAACACTTTTCCTCTGGGTGGATCTTCATCTTTACTCTCGTGGCTTGTTCTTGGTCTTGCAGCTCTTCTGATGTCTGAGGTGGAGTATCCTCATTGGCCTGTAGAGCCCAGTTGAGGTGGTTCAGTTCATCTTGGAGGAGGTGGGGTTCGCAGATTTTTTTTGCACGGTTTGCCAAGGCTTTAATGGTGCTTCTTTTTTGACTTGGTTTATTGTTTATTATTATTATTGGGTGAAGGTTTAGAGGATGTGCTTATCAAGTTTGCAAATGACACCAAATTAGTAGGGATAGCTAATCTCCAGAGGACAGGATCAGAATTCAAAATTACCTTAACAGATTAAAGAGCTGGGCCAAAACTAACAAAATGAATTTCAACAAGAACAAATGTAAGATACTACACTTAGACAGGAAAAAATGAAATGCAAAGATACAGAATGGGTGATGCCTGGCTCGACAACATCCATGTGAGAAAGATCTTGGAGTCTTTGAGGACAACGAGTTGAACATGGGCCAACAGTATGATGCATCAGCTAAAAAAGCCAATGGGATTTAGGAGTGTATCAAAGGGAGTATAGTGTCTAGATCGAGAGAAGTCATGGTGACCCCCTATTCTGCTTTGGGTAGACCTCAGTTGGAACAATGAGTCCAATTCTGGGCACCACAGTTCAAAAGAAATATGACAAGCTGGAAGATGTCCAGAGGAGAGCAACTAAAATGATCAAAGGTCTGGAGACTATGAATCCCTGTGAGGCGCATACTAAAGAACTGGGTATGTTTAGTCTGCAGAAAAGAAGGTTGAGAGGAGATAGCCATGTATAAATATGTGAAAGGATGTCATAAGGAAGAGGGAGCAGGTTTGTTTTCTGCTGCCCTGGAGACTAGGACTCGGAGCAATGGGTTCAAATTACAGGAAAGGAGTTTCAACTTGAAAATTAGGAAGAACTTCCTGATCGTACGAGCTGCTCAACAGTGAAACACTCTGTCTTGGAGTGTGATGGAAGCTCCTTCCTTGGAAACTTTTAAACAGAGGCTGGATGGCTATCTGTCAGGGATACTTTGATTGTGCTTTTCCTGCATGACAGGGAGTTGGACTAGATGGCCCATGTGGTCTCTTCCAATTCTACTATTCTATGGCTCAGGGCTCAGATCATTCTCTTGGGACATGCGATGCTGAGCTTGAGCTAAATAAAGACCGTATGCGGCAACTTTATAAATAAGCAAATAAACTTAGATTGAAAATAAGAAGGAAAAACCAATCAGTGTCATGAAGGTCCTCAAAATGCAGATTCCTGAAATATGGAATAGTAGTTAACTGGGGTTCATGCATATGAATCCAGTATGTTAACTGTGGAAAGAATACATGGTTTTGAAACTGTTGGATAACATGGATACAAATTATCTCTCATCAGTCAATATCATAGAATTGTAGAGTTGGAAGAGTTCAGAAGGGCCATCAAGTCCAACTCCTTGTTTAAGGAGCTCCATTGGCTACCGTTCATTTTCCGGTCCCAATTCAAGGTGCAGGTTATTACCTACAAAGCCCTGAACGGTTTGGGACCCACCTACCTTTGTGACCGCATCTCCTACCACAAACCTGCACGATCTCTTCGATCCGCTGAAGAGGCCCTTCTCTCGCCCCTTCCTCTATCACAGACTCGTCTTATGGGAACAAGGGAGAGGGCCTTTTCCGCTGTGGCCCCCCGCTTTTGGAATTCGCTGCCTAAGGAGATCAGGCAAGCCCCCACCCTAGCTGGTTTTAAGAAAGACCTAAAAACCTGGCTCTTCCGTTGTGCTTTTGGAGAATGACCATTCAACCCATCTGGTTGTCTTAGTCTACCCTCAGAATAAAGCTGCCCAGAATAAAGCATCTCCCCCCCCCCTAAAATGGCTAAATCCCATGGTTCCTCCCTGTTGGGCTCCTTTCCTACAAATGCACTTTTATCCCTATCTCACCCAGGGTTTTAACTTTTTTAACATTTTACCTCACACATTCGGCCCGCCCTCCGTGTCTGGTTTAAATATGCTGTTTTATATTGTTGATTTTGTTATTTTATATTTTGTTATGATGTATTTTGTTACTGTGTGTTTATTATTTTGCATTATTTTGGGCTTGGCCTCATGTTAGCCGAGTCCCCTTTGGGGAGATGGTAGCGGGTTATAAATAAAGTGTATTATTATTATATTATTATGCAGGAATACAGAATCAAAACACTCCTGATACTGTATATGGCCATCCAACCTCTGCTTAAAAACCTCCAGAGAAGGACACTACATTCTGAGGCAGCATATTAGTGAATGGGCTTTGGGCCAACCACTCTCTGTCCACCCAAGGGGGGAAAAATACAAAATAAGGCTCATGCACATTGTCTTCAATCCCACTGAGAAAGTATAGGGAGAAGCAAATAAAGGGCTGGATTTGTGCTGACCAGCCCAACCATTAGGGCACTCAGATAGAAGCCTTGCGGAGCTGATTTTGGATGCCTTGAAAAGGAGAAAATTCCTCATTCCATATTTTACTTCCAGGACTTGAAAGAAATGCTTGTGAAACTCTATAACTCATGCGTCAAAAATAGCAACAAGTGCGGCTGGCTTTGGCTACCATGCAATTTGACAGGGAGAGGCCTGTTCTGTTCTATGATTCTGTTTTTGGCAGCAAAATGTCTGGGGCTGACCTTAGTTCAAGGCACAGAAATGAATCACTGTAGTATTTTCCTGCATTGGACTGTATACAACAGGAGTAACTATATCAGAACTTGGAAATGTTTCTTTTGGATATTGTGGCAGCAATATCACATAGCCAGCACAGTTAATGGTCATTAAGTGCCGTATAGAGAGGGAGATGAGCCACTGATTTGGAGTAATTTCTCCAAACTAGTGAGGGAGCGTCCCACTTCCATATCATTTCTGCTTAAAGTTGTTTCTAGGCAAGTTCTCCAACCCACTGGATCGCCTAAAAGAAATGAGAAGGTAGCAGAAAGAGGGCATTGCCCAACCCAATTCCTCTCAGCTGCTTTCTACTGTTAGAATGCCATCATAATATTTGTACCCTGAGTTCAGAAAAACACAGCTCAAGGGAGTTAGGTTTAAATCAGAGGAGAGGAAACTTTGGTATTCCAGATGCTTCAGGAATACAATGGTTCTTTCTACACTGCCATATAAAATCCAGATTGTATGCTTCCAGATGGATTATATGGCAGTGTAGACTCAGATAATCCAGTTCAAAGCAGATAATCTGGATTATATGGCAGTGTAGAAGGGCCTCCCACAATCCCTTGCCATGGCCATGGGAGCTGAAGTTCAAACATCTGCAGGGCCAAAGGTTCCCAACCCCTGGCTTCAATCTCTAAACCTATTCCTGATGATTTGTGTCTCAATGTAGATTAAAAAGAATAATTTTTTCAAGGTGCCAGGCAGAAGGGGTTCTTCTGAATATAAGCAGCAAAATTGTTTCGCTTGAAGCCACCTGTCAAAAACTAATGTTTGGGATTATATTATAAATAGATATACAACAAGAAGAAATGCTGGGCTAAACTGATCTTGCAAATAAATAAAGTGCCACCTGACATACACAAAGTCCTGGGAATGAGGCATATATAGTTTTCTATATTTATATAGCATTAGTATCTATTAAATATATCAAGTCATTGCCCAAATGAACAGGGAAACAGGGAAACGGTGAAAGATAATGGGTGTGATTGACGATGCACTGCTATGCCTGTCTACTCAGAAGTAAGTCCCACTGAGGCCCCTTCTACATTGCCATATAATCCAGATTATCAATCAATTATCTACTTTGAACTGGATTATATGAGTCTATACTGCCATATCATCCAGTTCAAAGTAGATAATCTGAATTTTACATGGCAGTGTAGAAGGGACCTGAGTTTAAGGAGACTGAAATCCAAGGTGTTGTCTACACAGGCAAAAATATTTTTCTTCAACTCACATTTTCCTCGTGGATAGTGATAGTATTAATAACACACACATCCTTATTAAATTGAAGTAAAAGTGACATTACCGGGCATATGTTTCTCCAATGCAAGTTTGCTTCAGAGTGGTTCTGTGATGATGCTTTGCATTTTTCCAACCACAGCCATAGACACTCCAAGAGTTTTTCCCCTCATGCATGAGAGTATACATTTGTCTGCATTAAATACATGCGACTCCATAGAGCAGGCATCCTCAAACTGTGGCCCTCCAGCTGTTTGGGCCTTCAACTCCCAGAAGTCCTAAAAAGTTTGTTCAATTGTCAGGAATTCTGGGAGTTGAAGGCCCAAAGCTGGAGGGCCACATTTTGAGGATGCCTTCCATAGAGCACTGGCCTTTCTATTAAACTGGTATTTAAATGCAGAGAACGCTAAGACCAATATGTAATAAAGGCAACTTTATCCATACAAATGCACCTTGTGATTGCACACCGGCAAAATGGAAACAAATAGCATTTCATGGCAGAAAGATCTGGAGATCTCCCATCTACTTGTGCCACTCAAAATCCCACCCGCAGTTCAACATCAAAGCCGATTCGGACTGGGGGCACCTATAAAACAACTCAGATTTCCCAGAAATAATCAGGGTAAAAGATCAATCTCAGTTTTAAGCCCGCAGGGGTGAAAAACTACTGAATTAGATTTGAATCCCCAAGAATGTTGTGCATTATGCCAGCACCGAATACGAGGTATATTTTTGCCTGTGCAGACAACAGCCAAGTTGACATGCTTAGCATTGTGCTCTCCTTCACTATTGGTAGTAAAGTGCTACCACAACTTGCACTATATGTTTATAGATAGTTAAATTAAGTTAGAGACATACATGTATACATATCTATATCTCTCTTTATATATATATAGGTATTGTCTATGCGTTTTAGTATAACTGTTTGCTTTTTTTACTGATCTTTGATTTTGCGTTAACCTTTCGGGCAGCGTTTGCGGCGTCTCCTTTCTTCTGAGGTCTCCAAACATCCCTCGAGCAGTCAACAGCTTCATAAAATAGTTTCACTGGATGGGCACAGATTTTGTCCTCCTTGGTTTTCTTCAGGTGCATCCGTCCTTTCTGGAAGGAATGCGGTTTTGACTCTGAACTGTTATAAAAAACATGCTGAGCTCCTCGGCTGTTGATGCAAAGTAAAACAGGACAGAGAGGGAATCAGAGAAAATAAAACAAATCCACTAGATAAAAGACAAAGGACAAACTGTTTTTGGCAATCCACTGTAGGTAGCATTATTTCTAGGAGTTTTAAAAAAGTAACCATGTATAATAAATTTATTAAAAAAAACAAAACAATGAATGGAAGTTGAAAACTTTAGACGAAGTAAGAGAACTTGATGGAAGAATGAGTTGGTTTCACTATTTACAAATGAAAGACTGCTTTAAAGAGGATTTAAAGATAGATTTTAACTCACAAGAAACGTATTGGGATTTAATAATTCAAAAAGAAAAAATTAATTAGAATACTTTACCAAAAACTATTGGAATGGGATACAGAGAAAGACTTAATAAAGGACAATATGATTAAATGGGCGATAGATGTTGGACATTCAATCTCATTAAAGGAATGGGAACAGGTGTAGAAGACCAGAATAAGATACACAAGGTCTGTCAATATAAAGGAAAACTGGTACAAGATATTTTATCGCTGGTACTTGACACCCGTCCAACTATCTAAATTTTACAAAAAAATAAAAAATAAATGTTGGAAATGCGGGAGAGAAATAGGAACCTACTTGCATCTATGGTGGGGATGTAAGATAATAAAGAAATACTGGATTTCAATACATAAACACAATCAAAAAATTATTATGGTCAAATATGACTTGAAACCTGAATATTATTTATTAAATTTAATAAATTTTGAGTTGGGAAAGAACGAAGAGAAGATCTTATTCTACCTGACAGCCGCAGCGAGAATTACGGCAGCTCAGAAATGGAAAGGGAAAGACCCACCCTTGATAGAATATTGGTTTGCCAAAACTATAGGATATATGGATATGGACAAGTTATCACAATTAATGGAAAATACAAATAAAAGAAACCACATCAAGTGGGAACCCTTGAAAAAATACTTGTAGGAAGAAATGAAACTTCGAATTTTAAAAAAAGAAACAAGATGGAAAAGATGAAAATAAGAAGTTAGTATTTTATGGAAGAACTTTTTGTTCGTTTAGAAGAATATATCTCTGCGGATCGTACTGGAAGCATCCCACCCCTCAGCTCCAAACCACTTGCCCTTTTCACCAGACCCTTTCCCCACCCTCCCTCCCCAGCACCACTCTATCCCAACCTATCCATTCCTACTTCTTTTTTTCTTTTTTTTCCTTTTTTCTTTCTAGAAAACAAACTGTTCACCCTCTTTCACTGTAAAACAAAAACTTGAATAAAGATTATTTTTAAAAAGTAACAATGTATAATTATATACTGAAAGTGCACAATTCAAGAAGTGGGACTCCTTATATTATTACACTATGTAACACAATTTTTGTTCCTAGGTTATAAATGTCATTTCCTAATTGGTTCTATCATAAAAACATAGGAAAATTTATTAAGTTGCAAAAACTTTGTTTTTGTGGGACATTTTGCTATAATTTTTCAATGAATATCTCATTGAATCTCAACCAATTCAACATAGTTTGTGGCAGGCACGAAAACCAAGTCTCTGGAGTATAAACACTACTTTCAAAGTAAGTACTGCAAAATTAAACAGGAATAAGGGCCCTTCCACACAGCCATATAACCCAGAATATCAAGGCAGAAAAATCCCACAATATCTGCTTCGAACTGGGTTATCTGAGTTCACAATGCCATACATTCCAGTTCAAAGCCGAAAATGTGGGATTTTATTCACCTGTGTGGAAGGGGCCTAACACTTTCAAACCAGGAACTGAATTTCTTTCCCTCCTCCTCCTCCTCCTCCTCCTTCGTGACTTCCACGTCAGTGGGGCAGTCAATCTCCCCTGGGTTTTAGTCTAAACATAAAAGACATGATGCAAGGTGCTTAAAGGGTTCCGTAGCTTTAAAAAAAGGCTAAAATCCAGAGCAGATTCTTTGCCTTAATAACACGGGAGCTATACTTACATAGAAAATGATGTCGCATTTACCTCTATATACTCGTGTATAAGCTGACTTCATGTATAAATTGAGGGAAGGTTTGGGGGCCAAATTATGGATTTTGATAAGACCCATCAATACCTCAATGTCCATTCTATGGAAAAGGGAAATCACCGGTGCCTTCTCAGAGGGGCTAGCCTTCCCATCCACTGCTCTATCATTAGGCCAATCAGATCTTTTGCTACTCAAGATTACTAAGATCATCTGGAGAGGCCCTGCTCTCAGTCCCACCAGCCTCGCAAGCGCGCCTGGTGGGGACGAGGGACAGGGCCTTCTCGGTGGTGGTCCCGCGACTCTGGAACTCTCTCCCTCTGGAGGCCAGAACCGCCCCATCCATCCTAACATTTAGGAAACGGGTGAAGACGTGGCTGTGGAGTCAGGCCTTCGAGGAATGAGACAACACCATAGGACTCTGGATGGAAGTGGATATAGATCCATCTTAATAGGACGACTGACCACTGTAGTTTTATATTTAGTGTATTTTAAAGTTTATGTGTAATTTGTGATATATGATATTTTAATGAATTTATATGTTTTTATGGCTGTAAACCGGGCTGAGTCCCTCAACGAGGTTGAGAAGCTCGGTATACAAAACTGTGAAATAAATAAATAAATAAATAAAGGTTTTCCCCTGACATGAAATCCAGTCGTGTCCGACTCTGAGGTGTGGTGCTCATCTAAATTTCTAAGCCGAAGAGCCGGCGTTGTCCGTAGACACCTCCAAGGTCATGTGGTCGGCATGACTGCATGGAGCGCTGTTACTTTCCCACCTGAGTGGTACCTATTGATCTACTCACATTTGCATGTTTTTGAACTGCTAGGTTGGCAGAAGCTGGGGCTGACAGCGGAAGCTAATGCTGCTCCCCGGATTTGAACCTGTGACCTTTTGGTCAACAAGCTCAGCAGCTCAGTGCTTTAACCCACTGTGCCACCGGGGGCTCCTGTCTTTTGCTTCTCTATTTTTATATTAAAAAGTGTAATTTTTTAAAAGGAACTATCCCCTTCTCTGGGTAGATTGGTTAAATGCAAGACCTTAGTCCATCCTAAAACTTAAAAGAAGCTCTGCCTCCAACCTCTTCTACTCTTCCTTTGTTAATGCCCGGGCAAGAAAATGGTGGTAGTAGCATCCAGATGTGGCTGGCTTAAGCGGTTGCTTGTTGCCGTTCAGCTCTGAGAAAGGCTAGTTCCTTTTTTCATAAGAGTTAAGATACATTATTTATCTTGACTCATGGATAAGTCAACTCAGAATTTTTGGATTAATTTCTAGATATGCGTAAGTATACACAGTATTAGATAAGTTAATATAAAATAAATAAAATGTGAAATATATATTATAAGGATCCGTTTGGAAGGAGTGAAATAAAGGAATGTTAGGAACAACTTGTGATTGCCTAAGGCAGTGGTTCTCAACCTGTGGGTCCCCAGGTGTTTTGGCCTACAAATCCCAGCCAGTTTGCCAGCTGTTAGAATTTCTGGGAGTTGAAGGCCAAAACAACTGTGGACCCACAGGTTGAGGACCACTGGCCTAAGCGTTTTTTTTAAGGATGGAGTGTTTGAAAGTTGGATTTAGTATTGAGTTGTTAGGAGAGTTAGCCAGGGTCAGAGAAAGAGATTGGAGTCAGAGTTAGCTGGGGCCTCTTCTACACTGCCATATAATCCAGATAATCAAAGCAGATAATCCACATTATTTGCTTTGAAGTGAATTATATAAGTCTACACTGCCATATGTAATGGAAAAGCTAATTATAGTGGAGTTTTATTGTCTATGTTTATTAGTGTTGATATTATGGCAAGGGCAGTCGGGTTGGTTACATCTGATGGGTTGTTGAGTTACCCTTCATTATGGGCCCTTCCACACAGCCCTATATTCCAGGATATTGAGACAGAAATCCTACATTTTCTGAGTGTGGACTCAGATTAAAAGCAGATATTGTGGGATTTTGTGCCTTGATATTCTGGGATATTGGGCCCTAAGTTGCACAAAGACTGTTGTGTCATCACTTAGTTATTAGAGGAAAGGAATTAATTTCAAATACAGTAATTATCTGATTACAATGAGGAAAAGAAATTTATTGACTCCCAAGCTCTAATCATAACATTAATTTGTATAAAATAGGGAAGGGAATGTGCAGCCTTCAAAATATCATTGGACTATGAGAACAGCAGACCCATACAGGAATGTCAATAGTAGAAAACAGCTGAGAGTTTGCATCCAGCAAACAGAGGCTCCTTCTACATTGCCATATAATCCAGATTATCAAATCAGATAATCCATATTATCTGCTTTGAACTGGATTATATGGATCTACACTGCTATATAATCCAGCTCAAAGCAGATAATTTGGATTTTATACGGCAGTGTAGAAGAGGCCTGAGAGCCACATGATTTCCATCCCTGATATAAAAGATAGGAAATGATATACATACAGACATCTGGGCTTCTTACTCGATGACATATCTGTAATCTAAAGCAAACAAACAAACAAACAAAAACATAAGTGTTCAGATTGACAGGAACAAATACTCTCCAGAATCCTTTACAGAAGGTAAAAATGGACAAGCAGTATAGTTAGAGTGCTATGCAGTGAATCCTGTACGAACTCCTCCAATCCCCACTGATTCGAAAGCGGCTGTTGTGATCAATGCAGATCTGTTACCTTGCCATTTGGGAAGCAGCTGATGTTCCTACTCCCTTTCATGAGCAATCTCCAGTGTGAGATGCAAAAAATTAGCCTGTTACAATTCCTGCTGTGCAGGAGATTGCAAGTATAAGCGAGTGAGGGCCGTTCCACACAGCTGTATAAAATCCACACTGAACTGGATTATAGGCAGTGTGGACTCAGATATTCCAGTTCAAAGCAGATATTGTGTATTATCTGCCTTGATATTCTAGGGTTATATGGCTGTGTGGAAGGGCCCTAAGTGGGGAATGCCAGCCAACTCTTTTCAGACTGACAGGAGAACAGATTCCTGCAAATCGCAGCTGCTGTTGCCCTACACAGGCCCTAAACTAGGAGCTGCATAGGGATCATAAATACTTGAGAATATCGAGTGTGTAACTTTAGGATACACATTGGTGTATCCTAAAGATTCTGGCCACTATATTTTTCATATTTTATCTATAATATAGTTCTGGACATGTCTACTCTGCATTAAATCCTAGGCCCCATCTATACTGCCATATAATTCACATTATCAAAGCAGATAATCTACATTATGTCTTTTGAACTGGATTTTTTCAGTTACACTGCCATATAATCCCATTATGGCAGTCTACATTGCCATAAAATCCATGGATTTTATATGACAGTGTGGAAGGCGCCCTACTGAACTCAATGAGGGATTCTACCAAGTAACAGGTTCCAGGGTTTCCTATGTAATCCTCTGCATAGTGAAACCACTTTCTTCAATACTGTTTTGAAATTGCATTTAATGGTTACTGTAGATGCCCCCTGAAAGAATTCTTCCTATTTAAATAACCAGATCCACAATCAATATTTACCATTTTGTATCATTTAATCTAGCTATACTGGATCAAGGAGCTCTAAAACCCTGTCTCTCCTAAGTATGGAAAACATCTCTGTGTTTTCTCAAATTTTAACAGCATTGCCCTCATATTTTCAAACATATCTTTATGTCCATAGGATTTGGAAACTTTTTTCCCTTTGAATTAAATCTGAGATTCACATCAAAATGAATGTACCCCAATTTCTATGTTTTGAATTAATTCTTCCTTCTCCCTGCTTTCACACACACATACACAGACAGAGTCAGGCCTGTAATAGAAGGTGTAATGTTATGATAAAAGGCCAATATGGCTTTATAGGAGTTCTAACTCAAGGTCTGTATTTAACCCAGGGCAAACCCTGACAGCCTTTTATCCCAGAAGCATCCATGTTTTAAAAAACACCCACCCCAGGAAATGAGTGCTTTCTTGTGTGGGTGTTCAGATGCTCTCTCGAGACTAGCCTGAGATAATGTCTAGAGGCCCTCCCCCCAAGCCCCCAGACTCCTTAGAAACTTACCCAGCCTCCATTACAGGCTTCGACCAGCTCTCTCGGTGTGTAGAATGATGTGCCAGGAGAGCGGGGGGGGGGGGGGAATTTTCCTCTCTCCCCCCCCCCCCTGATGCGTCATTTCTACACAACGGGAGAGCTGGCCGAAGCCTGTAATGGAGGCCAGGTAAGTTTCCATTAATTTTCTAAGGGGTCTGGGGGCTTGCGAGGGAGGGGGTGGGTATTCCCACAGTTTACTGGGCTTATTTACCCCAGTAAACTGTGAGAATACTGTCTGGACTGCCGAATACTGAAGCCAGAACGAGAAATAGTGGGTTTATCCCACACCTTCCAAGAAGGCGCGGAATAAACCCGCTATGTAATTAATTTGCTACAAACCTGATTTTTCCTGGCTTGTGGCGAATTAATTTGAGACTGTCCAGAACATTATCTGGACAGCCCCTCCTTTATTGCAGTAGATACCGCAATAAAGGTACTGTCTGGACTGGCCCTCAGTCTTTTGATTGCCACAAGTTCATGAATTTTAATTCACTGACATGCTGTAAGTGTTGTACAGCTGGCTCAATAAAAGATATTGCCTTTCTTATTTCAAATAACAGCTTTCGGGGCATTTACCACTGACAAGCTTTTTGGTTGCTATTTTACATCTCCTGAACAAATTAACAGTCATGGCTCATTTGGAGCAGTGTGACTATACAAGGAGAACACACATCTAGGCGCAATTATCACTTTTCTGTGTTTATTCTTGTTTGTTGCTACCTTTCTTTTAACAGGAACATCTGATTCTTCAAATAAATTCAACCTGTAAACCAAGAGTTATTTTTCAGACACTTAAGGAAGTGTGATAGAGGTCATTGTTGCCTCCAGACACACACATTCATTTCCTAACCTTCCAATGCCTTTGATTTAAAACATAATTCATATTGGAAGCACTACTTCAATCTGCAAAAGCACCCTTTTAATAAGATGGTGCATCTACAATATATATATATAGAGAGAGAGAGAGAGAGGGGGAGAGAGTAAAGGTAAAGGTTTCCCTTTGACATTAAGTCCAGTTGTGCCCAACTCTTGGGGGTGGTGCTCACCTCCATTTTTAAGTCTAAGAGCCGGCATTGTCCATTGACGCCTCCAAGGTCATGTGGCTGGCATGACTGCATGTAATGCCATTACCTTCCTGCTGGATCTACTCACATTTGCATGTTATTGAACTGCTAGGTTGGCAGAAGCTGGGGTGAAAAGTGGGAGCTCCCCCCGCTCCCCGGATTCGAACCACCAACCTATTGGTCAGCACGTTCAGCAGCTCAGCAGTTTAACCCACTGTGCTACCAGGAGCTACTCTCTGTGTGTGTGTGTGTGTGTGTGTATGTATATTTGTGTGTGTGTGTGTGTGTGTGTGTGTGTGTGTATAAAATGGCCAATGACCAGCACCAAAATGTACAAATGTCAGAATGGGAATATCTACATATAGGGATTAAGAAACACTGTCAAAAAGCAAAGTTAAAACCCAGTATTGAATATGATAGTTAAAACATTTATATGCTAAAATGACAATGGTAAATACTTAAATATTAAAACCTTCTAAGATTGTGACAGCATCTTGTGCTGACAAGCTACTGCCGCTAGCAACTTTGGTAGTAATTTTGCGTGTTGGTCAGCCAACAGATAATCAACATAAAACCTTACAGATCTCCCTGGTAAGCTTTCTAAAACTGGATTTATAAAATGTTTATGAAGATCTTCGTAAAAAGAGCAGTACAACAAAACGTGCTCCACAGTTTTCACTGCTTCAGCTTCACAAGGACATAGGTGTTATGGCAGTTAGTGAGGTCAAACTGCACTAATTCTAAATGAACCCTTTGCTGGCTTTCAGCAGACAATTCTTGGAAAATGAGCCAAACAATGGCTACTAGCCATGGTAGTTATATGCCACTTTCACTTGTGGTAAACTATTAAACATTGGTTTCTGAGGTACAACATGGCCCCTTCTACACAGCCTTATAAACATATGCTATAACTTTGTAGAGTGAATCGGCTCCATTTCTTCTCATCTTATTATGGCACATTAAAAGTGGCATTAGCTTCAAACTTCATTAAATTGTCAATGTAGATGGGGTTTAGGACAACTTGTGGAAATTAAATTGGTCTCAAAACCTGTTCAAAGTCTAAAACCGGAAAATAACCCAAAACAGCCTGTTTTGTGAGCCTCCCAAAGTCCCTTTTGGAGTGGGAAGGATGGGATATCAATGCAGTAAATAAATAAATAAACAGCCATCTTCAATCTGCTGCTCTCCAGATGTGTTGGACTACAAAGCCCATTTTTCCCAGTCAACATGCCTATACTTCCAGAGGACCAAGGGAGTTGCTATCCAAGGGAGTTGCTATCCAAGGGAGTTGCTATCCAAGGGAGTTGCTATCCAATACACTTAAAGGTGTCAAATCAGGAAATGCTTGTCTAGAATTTAATTAAAGCACATGGCTAAAGTGCATTTTTTTACAGTAAGTAATTGTTTATGGGTTCTGGCTGCTTCCTATTTTCATTTAAAAACTGGCTACTATTTTTCTGATATAAAGAAGGATGAGGTCACAAAAACGACTTCTTCCCTGCTTACCACTTGCTCATTGACGTCACTGTAGTTGCCCACGATTTGCTGATTCTGATAGTATTCTAACTGCTTCTCTGCCAGATCCACTCTCTGCAGCAGATTTTCTATGAAGCGCTGGAGCCGAGCTTTGCCGTGAAATTCCTTCTCAGCGGCTTCCTCCAGGAAGTGATTAAACGTAACTACTTCTCTACAAATGACAAAGATAAAAAAACACAGGATCCCCTGTGGATATCAAAATTTGTGAACGCTCAAGTCCGATTACATACAATGGCATAATAAAATTGTGTCCTTTATATAAAACTAGCGGTCCCCTGCCACGCGTTGCTGTGGCCCAGTCTCATGATCTGGAAAATAAAGTAATGAGAAAGTGTTGGTTTCTAATATACTGTATGTAATGCTTGTGGGTTAAAAGTATTTCTTGTTGTTTCTTTGTCAGTGTCGATGTAGAGATTGTCTGGTTTGCCTACTTTGGAACATGCAACATATAATTGTCCTTCTTTAGGGGTCCCTTTCAAATCTATACTATATCTGTCATATACATATGTGTGTGTGAATCATATATATCTATCTGTATCTATGGCTGGATGGCTCTTTGTCAGGAGGGCTCTGATTACATTTTCTTGCCCTGGTGAAGGGAGTTGGACTCGATGGCCTTAAGTATTTTCTGTTGGTCATGGGGGTTCTGTGTGGGAAGTTTGCCCCAGTTCTGTCATTGGTAGGGTTCAGAATGCTCCTTGATTGTAGGTGAATTATAAATCCCAGTAACTACAACTCCCAAATGTCAAGGTCTATTTCCCCCAAACTCCATCTGTGTTTATATTTGGGCATATGGCGTATTTGTGCCAAATTAGGTCCAGATCCATCATTGTTTGAGTCCACAGTTCTCTCTAGATGTAGGTGAACTACAACTCCAAAACTCAAGTTCAATACCCACCCCTTCCCCCCCCCACCCCGAAATTCTCATGGTGGTCCACGAGAAGGCCTTACTGGTACATTATTTAAACTGTTATGTTTATTCATATCATGATCTGATCACCATACTCAATAATATCCCATATGCATGGGGGTATTGGGGTAACGATACAAAAGGTTTGCTAGGGTAGACCCTCTTTCACTCAGACTCACCCCCCCCCCCCCGAAACAAAATCCTGGCTACGGGCCTGATACCCACCAAACTTTTCTAGTGTGTTCTGTTGGTCAAGGGAGTCCTGTGTTCCAAGTTTGGTTCTATTCCATCGTTGGTGGAGTTCAGAATGCTCTTTGATTATAGGTGAACTATAAATCCCAGCAACTACAACTCCCAAATGACAAAATCATAATTTTTTGAGTGATGGTCACTCCTTGTGTTGTGAGATGTTTTGTTGCCAAATTTGGTGTGATTTCATTCATTGGTTCTTTTGTTTTTAAGGTACTCATTATGCACAGAGCATTTAAATATATATAGATGCTTGATTAACCTTTGCTTTTTAGACTTCCTTTCTTCTTTCCTTCCTTCCTTCCTATCCATGGATGGTGGAATGGGTGGATATAAAATCTGTGGATTCAGAGGGGCTAACTGCTATAACATAAATTGCTTCCATTGCACTCAATCTCATTTATTAGCTCGCTCTCTTTAGTTTCTACATTGCACTTAATTAAAATACTTTATGACATCAGTTTTTTCTTCCTCTTGTCCTTCTAAAATTTTTTCATAAAACGAGAGTATGGTTTCAACTTGAATCTACAATGCATTATTGGACATTGTAATTGCCTTTGCAAGTAGAGCTCAGATTCTCTGTGGATTTCTTCACAGAGACTGGTTCCTAAGCACCAGCGCGGTGTTTGGAAAGCACAAGACAGGTACCCAAATGCTCAAGGGAATCAATAACATTCACAGTACACAGTTCATTTGGCTTTTGGTAACAACAGCATTCTCGGAGAAGAGAAGTGCTTTGATTTCTTACTCTCAAGCCCCCCTGCAGAAACCTGTACTTAAAACAGACCTTTCCACGGCAGTATCATAGTGATGTATTACAAATAACAGTACTGCTTATTTTTTTAAGAAATGAAGGTAAACATCAAGACTTTTCAATCTGTTAACATTTTTAGCTAGAATGTAAGATTTTTTTTCTCTCAAAAAGAAAATTTCGAAAATGTTATGAGGGGTACATAATGGGACTAGAGCATACATGGATTTTGGAGGGTCCTGGAACCAAATTCCAGCTGATACTAAGGGCCTCCTGTACAATATTTCAGTTCTTACTGTTGTACTTCCATATTTGGAAGTGCATCTCTGATTTATGACCTCCTTCCTGAGCTGGAAAGCTCACCTACCTAAAATAATCCTAATCTTTGTACTAATGCCAATGGGACTTGCCTCACCGTAAAGTCTGTTTAGCATTGCTTCTCTAAACTGAGTTATTGTATTACCCATTTTTTATTTTTTTTAATAGTAGCACTATGCTTTTAATTAACACATGACAAGATAATTGGTTAAGTGAACGAACACAGAGAGTGCTCACTAATGCTTCCTCTTCATCTTGGAAAGAAGTGACAAGTGGAGTGCCGCAGGGTTCCGTCCTGGGCCCGGTCCTGTTCAACATCTTTATTAATGACTTAGATGAAGGGTTAGAAGGCATGATCATCAAGTTTGCAGACGACACCAAATTGGGAGGGATAGCCAATACTCCAGAGGACAGGAGCAGAATTCAAAACGATCTTGACAGATTAGAGAGACGGGCCAAAACTAACAAAATGAAGTTCAACAGTGACAAATGTAAGATACTCCACTTTGGCAGAAAAAATGAAATGCAAAGATACAGAATGGGTGACGCCTGGATCGAGAGCAGTACGTGTGAAAAAGATCTTGGAGTCCTCGTGGACAACAAGTTAAACATGAGCCAACAATGTGATGTGGCGGCAAAAAAAGCCAATGGGATTTTGGCCTGCATCAATAGGAGCATAGTGTCTAGATCTAGGGAAGTAATGCTACCCCTCTATTCTGCTTTGGTTAGACCACACCTGGAATATTGTGTCCAATTCTGGGCACCCAATTCAAGAGAGATATTGACAAGCTGGAATGTGTCCAGAGGAGGGCGACTAAAATGATCAAGGGTCTGGAGAACAAGCCCTATGAGGAGCGGCTTAAGGAGCTGGGCATGTTTAGCCTGAAGAAGAGAAGGCTGAGAGGAGATATGATAGCCATGTATAAATATGTGAGAGGAAGCCACAGGGAGGAGGGTCAACTTGTTTTCTTCTTCCTGGAGACTAGGACGCGGAACAATGGCTTCAAACTACAAGAGAGGAGATTCCATCTGAACATGAGGAAGAACTTCCTGACTGTGAGAGCCGTTCAGCAGTGGAACTCTCTGCCCCGGAGTGTGGTGGAGGCTCCTTCTTTGGAAGCTTTTAAACAGAGGCTGGATGGCCATTGTCAGGGGTGATTTGAATGCAATATTCCTGCTTCTTGGCAGGGGGTTGGACTGGATGGCCCATGAGGTCTCTTCCAACTCTTTGATTCTATGATTCTATTAAAATATATTTAATAACTGGGAATATTGAGTATTGTCAAGATTGCGAACTGTAAGTCATTTGCTTGAGATGTCTTCCACTGGTGTGAGCAGGTTTACCAGGGAGTGGGCAGCAGGAGGATTGCAGTTCTTAAGTAGTTCACATATAAATAATGTATCAGCAATTATTACATTTTTAATGAATACAACACTAAAGTATTTTTAGACAAGCAGGAACTGCCAAAAATTGTTCCAGAATTTAGCATGGAAAGCGGCAGGAAACTAAATTATGATTCTTTCCAAGCCTGAGGTTTCATTTCCAACTCACTGCTGAACTGACAGAAGGGAGGGATAATGGAAGCAAGACATTTATATCTTTACCTCTAGTCCTAAAACCAAAGCACAGCAGCGCAGAATTTAGCTCCTACAGCCATATTCACAGATACAATTAATCGCAATGGATGTTATGAGGGACTAAAAGCCTCACTCTTTGAAATGGACTGTGGAAAAGTGCTGTCTAATAAATCAGAATGTTTTAGATAATCCCTGGAACTGAATTTGAACATCTGGATGCACGCTTTCTTCTCCACTACAATCAAGGGATTTACACCTGCAGGGAGAAAGGAAATAGATCCTGAAACGGAGGTGCACTTGGCATGAGGGGAAAAGGTGGGCCCATGACAAAAAGGTCTACCCATGGATTGATGACAATGTTTTTAATGTGTTTTTAACTTAGTGTTCTATTTACTGTTATATTTGTTTATATTTGTATTATCTTGTGGTATCGCTGGTGTAAGCTGCCCTGAGTCCCCCCCTAGGGGGTTGAGAGGGCGGACTGGTTTTAAAAAATGGGCCTTGGCACTGAGTATTTGGCAAACTTTCTCATACTTTGCCATGGTAGATTTCACAACACAGTATAGAGGTATCTTAAGTAAACAAATAATAAATCCTGAGTCATTTCACAAAGAAACAGAGGCTGTGCTAAGTATCTTAGGGAACACTGATAGCAGGATCAGTAAAAGGAACCAGCTTTCAAAAGGCATCCTTGCTTGGCTGGGAAGAGGGCAGGTGGGACACTTCAAAATTGTATGTCCAACTGGAATTGTACTTTTCCTAGGCATCAAACAGTATGTCTTTTGTGTGGCAGAATTGTTGGATAGTCATACAAAGGGAATGATGCCAAAGACAGAAAAAGTAGGGATGATTTTAACTGAAAATCATCACTACCACCCCACACTGTTCCGCTCCACCTTTCTCTCTACTCAGTGGTATGAGTGCATAACTACACTGGTATGTGTAAACTGTGGTGGGCAAGAATTGGCCTAGTGGTGTCCACACACAAGATGCACAGACTCTTCTCACTCCCAATGCAAGACAAGGCTGCTTAATGGAGTTTTACCATATGCGCTTTGCTACTCTGTTGCTGAGTATGCATGCCCAGTGTGGAACACATCTCACCATACTAAAACAGTGGATGTGGCTCTTAATGAAACATGCTACATTATCACAGGTTGTCTACGCCCTACACTACTGGAGAAATTATTCTGTTTAGCCGGTATTGCAGAGCTGTCTTCATAGACCTGTCAGCAGCTTATGATACTGTAAACCACTGCCTCCTTCTGAGAAAAATGTATAATATCACAAAAGACTACCATCTCACCTGCCTCATAGGAAACCTGCTACAAAACAGGAGCTTTTTTGTTGAGTTCCAGGGCCAGAGAAGCAGGTGGCAGAAACAGAAGAATGGCCTGCCTCAGGGGAGTGTGCTTGCTCCATCAATGTTCAACATTTTACACAAATGACCAGCCACTGCCAGAAGGGACAGAGAGCTTCATCTATGCTGATGATCGTGCCATTACTGCTCAAGCAGGGAGCTTTGAGATGGTTGAACAGAAGCTCTCCGAAACTCTAGGTGCTCTTACTGCCTATTACAGGGAAAACCAGCTGATCCCTAATCCATCTAAAACACAGACATGTGCTTTCCACCTTAAGAACAGACAAGCATCCTGAGCTCTGAGGATTACCTGGATCATTGCAGCGCACTGGAGCATTGCAGCGCACCCAAATACCTGGGAGTCACTCTGGACCATTCTCTGACCTACAAGAAGCACTGCCTGAACATCAAGCAAAAAGTGGGTGCTAGAAACAATATCATATGAAAGCTGACTGGCACAACCTGGGGATCACAACGAGACACAGTGAAGATATCTGCCCGTGCGCTATGCTACTCTGCTGCTGAGTATGCATGCCCAGTGTGGAAAACATCTCACCACGCTAAAACAGTGGATGTGGCTCTTAATGAGACATGCATTATCTGCACCCTACACTACTAGAGAAATTACACTGTCTAGCCGGTATTGCACCACCTGACATCTGCCGGGAAGTAGCAGCCAATAGTGAAAGGACCAAGGCAGTAACATCTCCAGCTCATCCCTTGTTTGGGTATCAGCCAGCACATCAACGACTTAAATCAAGAAATAGTTTTCTAAGATCTACAGAGACACTTGCTGGAACACCCCAGCAAGCGAGAGTCTAAAATTGGCAGGCTCAAACCCTGAACCTCAATCAATGACTGATACCAAATGAGAGACTCCCCCCTGGGCACACAGAAAATTGAGCAACTTGGAAGGCGCTGAACAGACTGTGCTCTGGCACCACGAGATGCAGAGCCAACCTTAAGAAATGGGGCTACAAAGTGGAATCCACGACATGCGAGTGTGGAGAAGAGCAAACCACTGACCGCCTGCTGCAATGCAACCTGAGCCCTGCTACATGCACAATGGAGGACCTGCTTGTGGCAACATCAGAGGCACTCCAAGTGGCCAGATACTGGTCAAAGGACATTTAACCAACTACCAAGCTTGCAAACTTTGTGCTTTGTCTGTTTGTTTTGTTAAAAATGTAATACAACTGTCAGGTTGCTCCTGACACGATAAATAAATAAAGCTGGTATTGCACCACCTGACATTTGCAGCAAATAATGCAAGAACCAAAGCAGTGACATCTCCAGGGCAGTGACATCTCCAGCCCCTGTTCGGATATCAGCCAGCATGTCAACGCCTTAAATTAACGAATAGTTTTCTAAGATCTACAGAGATGCTCACAGGAACACCACAGCAAGTGAGAATCCAAAAGTGACTTAGAGCCTCAATCAGTGGCTGATACCAAATAAGAGAGTCCCTCCTGGGCACACAGAAGACTGGATGACTTGGAAGGTGCTGAACAGACTGTGCTCTGGCACCACGAGATGCAGAGCTAACCTAAAGAATTGGGGCTACAAAGTAGAGTCCACGACATGCAAGTGTGGACAAGATCAAACTACAGCCCACCTATTTCAATGCAGTCTGAGCCCTGCCACATGCATCATAGAGGACCTTCTTATAGCAACACTTATAGCTACTGGTCAAAGGACATTTAATACAATCCCAAGTTTTTAAACTTGTTTTTTTTTTTAATACATTACAACTGTACCATGGGTTCACTTCAGATACGATAAATAAAACCATATGTTAGGCAAAGTTCAGGACATACTCTGGAACTTTCCCAAAGCTCTGGAACATCCATATACAATTGGTCTCATTCTGAATTGGAACTGCCCCCTCCCCCCCCCCCCCCCCCCCCCCCCCCCCCCCGCCCACCTGTTCAGTCATCCATCCTGCTTTCTCCAGGCTCCATGCCACTGGGATTGGAAGATGCTACCTATCTTGGTTGCCATTGTTGCCATTGTTGAGGTGGCCATGGAACTGCAAAGAGCTCTTGGTCATCCCTGGGCACACTACTGTAGTCTGCAATGGCATCTACATAACATAGAGAGGGAGAGAGGATGGGGAAGGAGATACTTTCCCTCCCTGGTTCATGCAGGACAAAGTTGTCAGTGACAGCTAGGAACTCCTTGGAGCTCTGTGTCTGCTGCAATGACTATCAACATAAGGGTCGCCATTCATGATCAAGGGTCTGGAGAGCAAGCCCTATGAAGGAGCTGGGCACGTTTAGCCTGAAGAAGAGAAGGCTGAGAGGAGATATGATAGCCATGTATAAATATGTGAGAGGAAGCCACAGGGAGGAGGGAGCAAGCTTGTTTTCTGCTTCCTTGGAGACCAGGACGCGGAACAATGGCTTCAAACTACAAGAGAGGAGATTCCATCTGAACATTAGGAAGAACTTCCTGACTGTGAGAGCCGTTCAGCAGTGGAACTCTCTGCCCCGGAGTGTGGTGGAGGCTCCTTCTTTGGAAGCTTTTAAACAGAGGCTGGATGGCCATCTGTCAGGGGTGCTTTGAATGTGATTTTCATGCTTCTTGGCAGGGGGTTGGACTGGATGGCCCATGAGGTCTCTTCCAACTCTATCATTCTATGATTCAGTGGGCCTGAACTTGGTTTGGTCCTACTGATCAGGACTCTACCCTTCCACTGAAGATGGACAGAGGAAGTAAGTGAAGCTGCTCCAGGGCTGGTGCAGAGTGTTGCCCACTTAGATCATAGAATCAAAGAGTTGGAAGAGACCTCATGGGCAATCCAGTCCAACCCCCTGCCAAGAAGCAGGAATACTGCATTCAAATCAAACGGTTTGGGACCCGCCTACCTGCGTGACCGCATTTCTGTGTACGAACCCACACAATCTCTTCGTTCATCTGGGGAGGCCCTGCTCTCGCTCCCACCTTCCTCGCAGGCGCAATTGGTGGAGACGAGAGAGAGGGCCTTCTCCATGGTTGCCCCTCGACTCTGGAACTCACTTCCCAAGGACATCAGACAAGCCCCCACATTGGCAGTCTTTAGGAGGAGCCAGAAAATGTGGCTGTTCCAATGTGCCTTCCCTGAATAAAGGAAACAATCTCTGGCAAATACTCTGAGAAGCACTTTAATTACCCGTTGGGTTGTTCTTGCCTTGATTTAAAACCCTCCCAATAGATACACCCTCTGCTCATGTCCAGCATCTATTTTTAAAGTTTTTAACTATTACATCTGGCCCAGTCATAAGTTTTAAATTTTTGTGTGTTATTGTCTATTTGTGATTTATATTGATTGTACTGTTTATTTTGGTTATTGTTGTTGTTTTATTATTGCTTGTTGTTTTGATGTGTTTTTGGGCTTGGCCTCATGTAAGCTGCTCCGAGTCCCTTGGAGAGATGGTAGCGGGGTATACATAAAGTTTTATTATTATTATTATTATTATTATTATTATTATTATTGTTTACTATGTTACACTTCAAGCCTTTCTGCTGCTCTGGAGAAAAGGACACAGAACAATGGCTTCAAAATACAGGAAAGGAGATTCCACCTCAACATGAGGAAGAACTTCCTGACTGTGAGAGCTGTTCAGCAGTGGAATTCTCTGCCCCAGTGTGGTGGAGGCTCCTTCTTTGGAGGGTTTTAAGCAGAGGCTGGATGGCCTTCTGTTGGGGGTGCTTTGAATGTGTTTTTCTGCTTCTTGGCAGGGGGTTGCATTGGATGGCCCATGAGGTCTCTTCCAACTCTATGATTCTAAGTATAGTCAAAACATAGGGTTTGGTATTATCTGTAGTTTCAAGATAATGGCAGGAAAGGTCTTGGACAGTATACCCTGCAGATACAGGGGTTGTACTCTAGAAATAAGCATACATGTTGTACCATATGTTATATTAGTGGAACAGACAGCAGTGTGACACTAGAATGGCAGGAAGCACTGGTTTTCTCCTACAAGGTGTGCTGGATAAAATCCCCCTCTTCAGTAAAACTCCCATTATCTGAGATGTTGGTAGTTACAGCCCAACATACCTGGAGAGCAATATGTTGGAGAAGACTGAACTAGACCATGCCAAGGTAAGCCCTACTGTATAGAAAATGGACACTATAATGTCATATAATAATGTACATACTCTTCCTTCCTGTGCAGCTCTTCCTCGGACTCCGTCAGCCGTTGCTTCAGCACTGCTATCATCTCCACTGCGACATCCACCTGTCTGTTGAGGGCCATCTCCCGCTTCTGAACTTCCTGCTTCTTCTGTGAAAGCTGCACAAAAGCCGCCCGTACTTCCAAGAGCTCGGCAGTCTTTTGGGACAGCTCTTTGGTGAGCTTGTCGATCCTCTTCTCAATGGTTTTGTCAACTGCTTCCACCATCCTGTTAAACTTCTCTCTGACGTGGGCCTCAAAGGAGGCTTTGGAGTCTGTGGTTGCCAAGCCTGGCTTAGAAATGGGCTCATCGATGGATTCCCCTGATGTGTAATTGGACCCATAAGACGCAGGTCTTTCGGCTTCCACCTCCAGGGGCTTCCTGTTCTTGGAGCTCTCTCGTCCCGTGTCGCAGAAGTTCAGATAGGATGTCTTTGGTTTCATGATGTTGGTGTTGTCTCCCAGCATTGCATGCATGAAGGGCTCGGGGGAAGAGATCAGGTCTGCATCTTGGATAGATGAAAAGAGGTTGCATTTTGTCAGAAGGCTCCTGTCTTCGTAACTATGGTTGAATTCCAAGTGGGCTCTTAGGGACGACAAGGTCCGGAATCGGGTGTGGTCCCCGCATCGCGGGCAGCGAAATGGCATGCAGACACTGACATTTTCAAAGGACTCCTGCCAGGGGTATCTGCTTTCTTCAAAAGTGTTCTGTTGCATTACTTTCCAAGTCCTGGACGAAAGGGAAATAAGACCAGGTTTCTCAGGTTAGTTTCAAAAGATAAATACATATTTATTTATTTATTTATTTAAAACATTTCTATTCCGCCCTTCTCACCCCGAAGGGGACTCAGGGCGGAACACAGCATATACACGGCAAAAATTCAATGCCGGGACACAAATTCACATACACATACATAATCATTTAAAAACATTTATCAAAATATTTAAAACACACCATTTAAAACCGTCCTAGTCATCTGCGCCAAATCTAATTGGCCTAGTCATCTTTCCTATTGCTGCTTTATTGCCCTGTCCCAAAAGCTTGGTCCCACAGCCAAGTTTTTACCATCCTTCTAAAGGACAGGAGGGAGGGGGCCGACCTGATCTCACCAGGAAGGGAGTTCCATAGCCGGGGAACAATCACCGAGAAGGCCCTGTCTCTTGTCCCCACCAATCGCGCCTGTGACAATGGCAGGGCCTCCCCAGAAGATCTTAATCTCCGTGATGGTACATAGGGGGAGATGCATTTGGACAGGTAATTTGGCCTGGGGCCATTTAGGGCTTCATAGGCCAAAGCCAGCACTTTGAATTGTGCCCGGTAGCAAACTGGCAGCCAGTGGAGCTGATGTAACATTGGAGTTGTGTGCTCCCTTTATGCCACCCAAGTTATTAACCTGGCTGCCTCTTGTTGGACTATTTGAAGCCTCTGAGCAGTCTTCAAAGGCAACCCAACGTAGAGTGCATTGCAGTAGTCTAACCTAGATTTAACGAGAGCATGGACCACTGTGGCCAAGTAACAATAAACTTTATTTCTAGACCGCCCTCTCTCCCAAAAGGGTCTCAGGATGGTTTACACACAGAAACAAGCAAATATTCAATGCCTTACAAAGTACAAATAACATCAGAATAATACAAAATAATGCACAAGAATAACAGTAAACTTATAATAAAAAATTAAATGTTGAAATGGGGATTAGCTAGCATCTTATGATGCTTTTGTTAGGCCGCCATGAGTCCCCCTTCGGGGGGAGAAGGGCGGGGTATAAATATAGGAAATAAATAAATAAATAGGTAGCAATAAACCAAATTAGACAATAAACTAAGACATGAGTGAACATTAAACATATATCATTAAAAGCAGTTAAAATGAACTGTATTTGAAATGGCTAACACAGGTGATTATTAAAAGCTAGCGGTCCCCTGCCACATCATTGCTGTGGCCCAGTCTGGTGATCTGGAAAATAAAGTAATGGGAAAGTATTGTTTTCTAATATATGTAATATCTTGTGGGTAAATAGTATTTCTTGCTGTTTCTTTGCCAGTGTTGATGTTTCTTTGCCAGTGTTGATGTGGAGATTGTCTGGTTTTCCTACTCTGGAACATGCAACATATCATTGTCCTTCTTTAGAGTCCCTTTCAAATCTTTGATACTGCATCTGTCATATACATATGTATATGCCCCTTGACTCTGTGTGTGTGAATGGCTGGATGGCCCTTTGTCAGGAGGGCTTTGGTTAAGTTTTCTTGCCCTGGTGAAGGGAGTTGGACTGGATGGCCTTAAGGCAGCATTTCTCAACCTGGGAAGTCAAGAGGGGGGGATCACCGGGGGGGGGGGCAGAAGGGTCACCAAAGACCACCAAAAACACACTGTTGGTCATGAGGGTTCTGTGTTGGTGGTAGGGTTCAGAATGCTCCTTGATTGTAGGTGAACTATAAATCCCAGTAACTACAACTCCCAAATGTCACGGTCTATTTCCCCCAAACTCCATCTCTGTTTAGATTTGGGCATATTGAGTATTCGTGCCAAGTTTGGTCCAGATCCATCATTGTTTGAGTCCACAGTGCTCTCTGGATGTAGGTGAACTACAACTCCAAAACTCAAGGTCAATGCCCACCAAACCATCTAGTGTTTTCTGTTGGCCAAGGGAGTCTTGTGTGGTAAGTTTGGTTCAATTCCATTGTTGCTGGAGTTCAGAATGCTCTTTGATTATAGGCGAACTATAAATCCCAGCAACTACAACTCCCAAATGACAAAATCGTAATTTTTTGAGTGATGGTCACTCCTTGTGTTGTGAGACGTTTGTTGCGAAATTTGGTGTGATTTCGTTCATTGGTTCTTTTGTTTTTAAGGTACTCATTATGCACAGAGCATTTATATATAGATATATGCAAGATGTATCATAGCTGTCATATAGTGCAAATGGATTCACCAGTATTCCAGTGGATTGAAGTATTGAAGTCCTCCTCCTCTCCATATGTGTAGTCAGCCTTCCCCTGATACCCTATGTTATCAATATGACACATTTCTATATATAATACATGCCCCCTGCCCCCATTAACAGATTTAGTATTATCCATCATATCACTTAGACCCCTTCTACACTGCCATATAAAATCCAGATATCTGCTTTGAACTGGATTATATGGCAGTGTAGACTGATATAATCCAGTTCAAAGCAAATAATGTGGATTATCTGCTTTGATAATCTGGATTATATGGCAGTGTATAAGGCGCCTAAGTGCTACGATGGATACTAAATGTGTTGATGGGGGTGGGTGGGGGCATGTATTGTATATAGAAATGAGTTGCATTGATAACCTGGGGAAAATATTCCCACTTGAAAGTGTTTGTTGGTCTCTTCAAGTGCATGTTTCTGGTTCAAATATAGAATTCATTAGTGTAAACTGTGCTCCATCATACCTGGAAGCATCAGGTTACAGACAGTGCTTTGTATTGAAAAAAATGTGAAAAAAGAAAAAAGATACCGAATTCCTTAGTTTGAAAAGTTAATGTTTTGCAGTTGCAGTCAGCTGCATATGTAAATGAAATCTATATACATTCCAATCCAGTCCCATCTCTGGCTCAGTGATTTCTATTGGATTTGGAGACAAGAATACAAGGGGCGCAGCACATGGTGAATAGTAAGGTTTTTAATTGAGGAAGGCTTTTAAAAATAAAGTTTTTAAGAACAGATCAAGGAGTGCTGCATGGGTCTAGAAATTGTTTTTAACATTTTTTAATTTGTTGTAATCATTACTTTGATAATTGTAATATTTAATTCCATTTTAAATATTTTGAAAGTTTTAAAATTGTACAGTTTTTAATGCTGTGAACTGCTTTTGGTTCCTGTCCTGGGAGCAACATACAGGGAGCACACCACCCCCCTGCTATACCAGCTCCACTGGCTGCCGGTTCAATTCCGAGCACAATTCAAGGTGCTGGTTTTGACCTACAAAACCTTGTACGGTTCCGGTCCAGTATATCTGTCCGAACGTATCTCCCTTTACGTCCCACCTCGGAATTTGAGATCATCTGGGGAGGCCCTGCTCTCGACCCCACCACTGTCACAAGTGAGGCTGGTGGGGACGAGAAGCAGGGCCTTCTCAGTGGTGGCCCCTCACCTGTGGAACTCACTCCCGGGGGAAATCAGAGCATCACCATCCCTCCTCTCCTTCAGGAGGAGGGTGAAGACATGGTTGTGGAACCAGGCCTTTGGGCAACCAGGCAATTAAATAAGACAATTAAATAAGACAATCAGATGTGCAAGATCAGCAGGATTGTCGAAGTGGAATCAAAAACAGATCTATGAGTTAGTGTACACTGATAGGGTAGGAGGAAGAATTAGGTTTGTATTGATTTTATTGATTTTATCGATTTTTATTGATTTTATTGGGATAATGGCTTGAATTGTGGTAACTATGAATTGTTGTACTTCTGTGATGATTGTTTTGTGTGGCAGGCATCTAAGTGTGCCTTTGCTGTTGTAAGCCGCCCTGGGTCCCCTACGGGGTGAGAAGGGCAGGGTACAAGAACCCCAAATAAATAAATAAATAAATAAATAAATAAAAGTGAGGTTCAAATAGATATAATGACAATGACATTGAATTTTAGCAATGTGGAAGATACAGAAAAATCAATATTAAATTCCTAATATGTCCAGTTTATATCTTGGAAAAACTATATATATATATATTGTCGAAGGCTTTCATGGCTGGAATCACTAGGTTCTTGTGGGTTTTTTCGGGCTATAGAGCCATGTTCTAGAGGCATTTCTCCTGACGTTTCGCCTGCATCTATGGCAAACATCCTCAGAGGTTGAGAAGGTCTGTTGGAAGTAGGAAAAATGGGTTTATATATCTGTGGAATGACTGGGGTGGGGCACAGAGCTCTTCCCTGCTGCAGCTAGGTGTGAATGTTTCAGCTGATCACCTTCATTAGCATTTGAAGGCCTGCCTGAGACTGGGAAAATCTCTTGCTGGGAGGTGTTAATCTGTGCCTGGTTGTTTCCTCTCTGTTGTGCTGTTGTAATTTTAGAGTTTTTTTTAATACTGGTAGCCAGATTTTGTTCATTTTCATGGTTTCCTCCTTTCTGTTGAAATTGTCCACATGCTTGTGGATTTCAATGGCTTCTCTGTGTAGTCTGACATGGTGGTTGTGAGAGTGGTCCAGCATTTCTGTGTTCTCAAATAAAATGCAGTGTCCAGGTTGGTTCATCAGGTGCTCTGCTATGGCTGACTTCTCTGGTTGAAGTAGTCTGCAGTGCCTTTCATGTTCCTTGATTTGTGTTTGGGCAATGCTGCGTTTGGTGGTCCCTATGTAGACTTGTCCACAGCTGCATGGTATACGGTAGACACCTGCAGAGGTGAGAGGATCCCTCTTGTCCTTTGCTGAACGTAGCATTTGTTGGATTTTCTTGGTGGGTTTGTAGATTGTTTGTATGTTGTGTTTCCTCATCAGCTTCCCTATGCGGTCAGTGGTTCCCTTGATGTATGGCAAGAACACTTTTCCTCTGGGTGGATCTTCATCTTTACTCTCGTGGCTTGTTTTTGGTCTTGCAGCTCTTCTGATGTCTGAGGTGGAGTATCCATTGGCCTGGAGAGCCCAGTTGAGGTGGTTCAGTTCATCTTGGAGGAGGTGGGGTTGACAGATTCTTTTTGCACGGTCTGCCAAGGCTTTAATGGTGCTTCTTTTTTGACTTGGGTGATGGTTGGAGTTTGACAGACAGACAA